TGGATGAATTTCTAATCTTCTAGATAGTAATGATTTTATTGTTGTACAACAAAGAGCCTGATGTAGGGCTCACGAGAGAAGAGCTGAACTGGTGGGAAAGTTGTTAAACTAGTCTAGCATTGGTCCGCAAGGTCCAATCTGACCTATGGTGGGCTAGGCTTTTTGCTCAAGGGAGGGGCCTCCCCTCCTAGCTATATACTAATATAAATACTTTTTTTTTGCTGATTAGGATTAGTTTTTGTTGAGTTTTTATTAGGACAGTCGCTGACGTCCCCCTTTTTTCTTATAGGGCTATATCCAAGAACATGTGGTATTCTGACTATATATTGCTCCGTGGTGTTGGCTATCTCCTTGCATTTTCCTCCCCTTCTCTTCTGACCAGCTTACTGTTGCCTTATAAGGCCGGCCCCCTTACTGCTGCAACCTTCCTGCAATGTTCCAGTGCAGGTTGTCGTCTCTACGACACCGCCCAAGTGCTATCACACTCATCCTGCTCGCTTCCCTGTTGCCGCCTCACTTCCCTCGCCCTACCTGCTCATAGCCAACCTCTTCCCGCACCTTGTCGGCGGCGCTGTCACCCTTGCCGCCTCCCCCCAACCCCCCCGCTGCCGCCTCTCTCTCGTTGCCATACCACTGGCTGCCCTGCCTCTGCCCTAGCAGGATATTCGTGTTTGTTGTGTTTTCTTTCTTGACTTAAGTCTTGTTTGTAACCTCTATAGCTTTAGTGTAATAAAATTTAATTTTCTATTTGATTTTGGGATAACTCCGATATCATTTGGTAACAGAGTTAGCGTCTAATACTCAACCCTATATCCACCTAAAATTTTTCTTTCTCAACCTACATCAGCCTTACACACCCCCTTCCACCCACCAACACCTAAAACTTAACCATGCCGTTAAGGACATAATCGCCGAAATTCTGATTGTGGGGAAATGACACAATGCTGTTTATGAGAAATCCACAAAGATGTGTTAAGGGATTTTTAGGGAAGATTTGCAGTGGGAAATCTGCCAACGACAACGGAGGCTTACCACTTTCGAGAGGAAGCAGTCTAGATGGGTCACTTGTAGAGCTGATTTGCTATATTGAAGAAATGTAGTGAATCTTTTCCACCATATTGATTCCAGGAATGCAGAACCTCTACCTTGAAGATTTGACCTGAATTATCTTAGAAGTTATAATTTTGAAGTACAATTGGATTTGTCCTATTTCAATGGCCACATGGATCCAAAGGAGTTCATTGGGGGGCTCTGGATCTTGAAACCTGTCTTTCATTGTCAGGACGTCCCACATGATGGAATGGTGAAGTTAGCAACCAATAAGCTAAAGAAAGGTATATTATTTTGGTGGCAAAATCTGAAGTAATGATACCAGCGTGAAAGAAAAGACAAGACCACTATATGGTCCAGGATGAAACGAGGGGTTACAGCGCCAGTCCCATCAGTTCACTATAAATAGATGTTCAGACTCTAGCTATAGAAGTGGAGCTACAGAAGTGGAGAAACCATACGGGGCAATCACCACGTCTTACAGGTAGGGTTTAACCCAAGGATCTTACATTTAGAGTACACCTAAGGGAGCATCTAAGCTGACCCTACTCGATGAGACACTAGTGTAGAGTGGAGAACAGAGGGCACCAATCCGCATTTCAAAATCCTTCTTAGCCATAAAGTGTTTCAAGTGCCATAGATTTATGCATATTGAAGCATAGTACACAATCAGGGAGATGTTATATTTCACCGAGCAAGAAGCTGTTGAAGAATGAGGCAGTGTCACCGTTGACACTGAAGAAGGTAAGGACAGAAGGAAGAGAATCATATTCCAACGGATGAGGAAGAAAAAAAAGTAGCTCCAGCTGAGGGCATACGACAAACTCCAACAGGATTCACATTATGGTCCAAGATCGTCTTAAGTCCAAGGAACTGACACTAAACCCCCGATAACCTCAGATAAGAGAAGTTCAAACTTTTCAAATAGAAAGGCTCATTACTAAGTTACCCCTACCGAGGGAGGTCCAATTTGTCAGAAATGCAACATTTTTATGCCATTTCGGGAATATTACATGGAGTTATTCAAATGTTGGATTCAGTTTAGCAGTGTACCTGCCATCAGATGTTTAGACAGGAGAGTTGAACCATAAAATTTGGAAGTTGTCATGGAATTTTGGTGCGGAAGAAAATTTTTTAATGGGATCCAGGTCCTATCAGTGAAAATGAGAGATTTCTCCTGAGTGGTTGCTAGTGAGAGTGGCGTAACATTTCATAGATTTCACCCCAAAGTTGATTTCTTTTCACATGCTTGTTCATTAATTAAATTCCGCTGAGTACGAGAAGTAGAATAAGGGTTCAAACTTAAGGGCTACACCACTCTATATCTATATGCAACTTTAGCTCAGGATTTGTCAAAAAATGTTGTTTATTTATCTATCAAGACATGTTGTGGAATGACAACGCCTACAGGACTGAAATACCAAAAAAATACATTTTCTTTGCAACTCTCAATGCAATTAATTTGACTCAATACTATGACAAATTAAAAGCTTTGACGAATGAGGTCAAAGCTCCCCTAACCTCGGGAGGCTAAGGCGGGGCTCATCAGGGAAGAGCTGAATTGGTGTGAAAGTTGTTAAACCTATTTAGCATTGGTCTGTAACCCAAGTGAGGGCTTTCCCCTCCTGGCTATCTACTAGTACAAATATGTTCTTTTTGCTGATTAGGGTTAATTTTTGCCGAGTTTTTTTGTCAATCAGCCACCAACTTCTTTATTTTCTCTTCTAAGGCTGTATCTGAGGACAAACGATGCTCCGACTATATCTTGCTTCGAGGTGGTGGTTATCTCCTCACGTTTTCCTCCCCTTTCTTGCTGTCTCCTTATAAACCTGACCCCCCTGTGATGCTCCGACTATATCTTGCTTCGAAGTGGTGGTTATCTCCTCACGTTTTCCTCCCCCTTTGACTTTCTTGCTGTCTCCTTATAAACCTGACCCCCCTGGTCGTTGCTGCCTTATTGCACTGTTCCAGTGTAGGTTGCCGTCCCTACTGCACAACACGTGCTGCCGTCACTCATCCTGCTTGCTTCCCTGCCACCTCTTCACTTTCCCCGCCCTACTTGCTCTCAGCCAGCCTCTTCACTTCTCCGCCCTACTTGCTCTCAGCCAGCCTCTTACCGGACCTTGCCGGTGTCACCGTCACCCTTTTTTGCATCGTTCCAGCCTGCCGCTGCCTCTCCCAAACAAGCTCGCTGCCGTACCACTGGCTGACCTGCCTCCATTTTTGCAAGATATTTGTGTTTAGAGAGAGAGGGAGTCGGGACTAGTGTGGTGCAAAGAGCCAGAACACTGAACACATTTTCAGTAAATGCAGTAGAAAATTAAAGGGTTAACAACGTTGCACAAAAAAGCTACTATAGATACATTACTTTTTGCTCTGATGCTAAGAATTATAGGTGGGTGGGTGGGGTCGGATCGTCATCTAGACATGCGATTGACGGGAACAGGAATGGTTGCGATCAATCCTGTTATCATTATTGCACATATATTAGTTTAAAATCAATATACATCAACTAATGAAACAGGAATAGTTGTAATCAATCCCGTTGTCATTGTTGAATATATATTTTAATCCAAGAGTTGCATCCAATGTACATTGACTTTTTAGAATATTTGTCCCAGGCCCTATAGGTATAATTATAGAAGTGAAATATAAGTTATGTAGTTAATTTACACGCCTTATTGTCTAGCAGAGTATAGATAACCTGTTTAATTGCGTAATAAGGATTTTACGGCATGTCTTCTTTCACCGATTAATATATTCTGTTGTGAAGGTAATGAAAAATTGTGATATTAATACATATTATAGAAAAGTAGAGCTTACACTTGTAGAAGGAAAAAAAAGAAGCCTCTCTAATTTTGTAATTTGTAATAGTGCATGTACTTTATAAACAATATTGATATGATGAGAAATTGTTTCAATCAACTTGTGTTTTGATTTTTTTATTGGCAGTGATTCAAAAATGCTTAATGGAATTTTTTGTATCTTGTTAATAAATAAAGGATAACTTGATTAAACCTGCTATTTAAATTAATTTTTTCAGCTTTCCATCCCTTACCAAACCAAATCCTGTCCAACCCTATCCAACGATTGTCCCATCTCTGTTTATATGTGCATTGGAAGGGTAAAGTAGGTGGGAATATGAACGTAATAATCTCTCCTTTTTTGATTTCTTATGTTAGTCATAATGTGTTGCCAATATTAAATAATTACTTCTTGTATTGTCCTAATATTTCTTTTTTGACTTTCCTGCAAGTTGTTTTATTCAGCATCTGTTTCTTACCTCTTATCTTTCAGTATTGTTGTCATAAGAGGCCTTGCATAGATATATACATGTTTAGCTTGCATGAATCTGTTATTACAGTTTGTTCATAGTTTTAATCTTTAGGAGTTCAAATGGTTTTGTATGCCACTTGCCGCAATCAGCTGGCATGTGCATTGATATAAAGAGGACCTAAAATGCAGGCATGAAACTATTTGGTAAGCTACATCGGCGCTTGTCTATGCTTTTGTTTTCATGTAGGTGGATTATTTCTCGTGTGTGTGCATGTAGGTGCGGTTGCTTGCTATTAGTATCTTAAAATCATTTACAGCAAAAAAAAAAAAAAAAAAAAAAGGAAGACACAGTAGGCATGTACATGCACTTACCTATTGACAAGTACGTGCTTTAATAATAATTGTATTTCCTAGTTTGTATTCTTGTTTATGTAGCATTTGAACCTGGAGACAATGGGCAGTTTTAAATAATTAATGATTTTCCTGCTAAAGATTTTTTGTCCTCTAAAATTAGATTTGTTAGCTTATACGGTCTTCTTCAATTTTGGTTTCCAGACACTGTTAGATTCTGTTCTTTTTAGTTTATTTTTCCTTATTATTTTATGGAATGTGTAAATTTTCATACTTTTAACGTTCCATTATATTTTATTGGTATTTGTTTTGTGAATTTTTAGCTAGTGGAAGGTCAGCTCTTAATCTGGAAAGACGTTTAGATCCTGATGGCCTTCCTCTTGCTATAACATCAGCTGATGCAGCGGCTGCTGGTGGAGTTCCTCCTTGGAACTGGAGAGACACCTCAGCAAATGGTAAGGGAATGATCTATGGATTTAGCTTATTGCTGATAAAGAATGTTGTTATCCCATGCTCTGCAACTGACTTTGTGGTCATTCGAAAGATCATCTTTTCTTTGAGATGAGTTTGGATTGTCTGCATGTTAACACATGATCACGTCATCCAACCACTAATTTTTTTGGCATCATTATCATCATCAGAATGTGTAAAGTGCCTAAATAGTCCCTTGACTAATTACATGGTGTCATGTTAGTCCCAGAGTTTATAAAAATGTCAAACTAGTCTCTGAGTCTTTTAATACGAGTTAAAATAGTACCTCCGGAGGACTATTTTACTTTTATTTGTCTACTATGTTGTCATTTTTATAGACTCTAGGTCTAAAATGACTCCAGACAAAAGTCAAATGACCATTTGCATAGTTTATTCTCATCAAAATCATTTGCCTTGTTCTGCTCTTATGGAGTCATAACATAGCAAAAAGTTATGCATTATGGTTACATTTTGTGAGAATGCTTTAAAGTTATACCTTTTTCATGACTTAGAAGATCTTGTAATGACCTAACAATTTTCCTTAACCTTTTCCATGATTTTTGTATTCCAGGATAGATGCATGTTGACCTCATTTTTAACGAAGTCTAGTTTTCTTCTTAAGGTTTAGGATTTGGCCTTAGGATTCTCTTTTTGACTATCTTAGAGCCTAGTAGTGGGACCCACCTCATTTTCGAAGTTCAAACCACTTTTTTTTAACTCTTTTTGGAGTTTCACATGTGATTCTTGACCTCTAGCACTTAGGAGATTGGAACAGCATGAGAAAACTCAAATGTATTCCCCATAGGACCATTAAGCTATAGGGTGACCTTATTCACAATTTGCACCTTCGCGCGCACAAATTTTGCAATTCGAGCAATCGACCCGTTTAATTATCACAATTCACACCGCTTACACCTTTATATGTTTGATAATTAATCGAAACCAAAATTAATTTCCAAAACGATCGATCGCAAACCCAAAATTTTAGGAAAATCGAATTTGTTGCATTTTTGACCCGATCTTTGACGTGGTTGTTCGAACGACCTCGGATGACGAAACAGACTGCATCGACGAGTCCGGAACGTCAATTTTAGCTAGGAGGACACCCATTTTGATATGGTTCCGTGCATGCCCGGATTATGCCCAAATCAGAGCTTTAAGTAATAATGATAGTTATAATAACAATAAAAAAGGAAAACCCACTTAAACCTAAACTCACGCACACTCCCAGCCGAACTCCCCCATTTCACGAACTGAGCCCTTCCCTCGTTCGGCCAAGCAAGCCCTAGCCTATCCCGACTCCTCTTCCATTCCTTCGATCGCTCATGAACCCTAACTAGTCGATCCTGCCAATCTCACGAAGCTTCCCCGAGGTCCCCACTGAAGATTACTGCCACTGCTCGCCACTTCCCTTGCTTCGCTCGCCACACCCTCTATCACCACCTACCCTCCATGCTCCCTCTGCGCCCGTTTATTGCCACTTCCTCCCGTCACCGTCGGCTTCGGCTCACCCTAGGTAAGGTGAAGGTAGGCTCTTCTCTTCTTCTTGGCTATAAAAACCCCACTTGGGGGGAGTGTTGTGGTTGTTGAAACTTTGGTGAAAAATGGGAGGTTCTGTTGGAATTTTGCTAGGCTTGTTCTTGAGGTTTCTTTGGGTTGCATCAGAAAGTAACCTCCTTCTTGACCTCCTTTTCAACACATGAGAATATATTTGCTTAGGAAAGTCATTTTTTGGTTGTTTTCTTAGCTCGAAACTGCTGTATGAATATTTCTCTTCTCCTATATTGCTGGATGATTTGGGAATGGTTTCATGTTCATTTAAACCTTTGATATATGCTATTCGTTTCATGACAAGTCTTATTGAAGGCTTATGGGTGAAATACTATGTTGGATTTTAAATTTTCCTTCGCTGATTTTATGTTTTGAGTGTTCAAATGAGACTATTATGATGTTCCAAGTGGTCATTTACCTCAAGATTTATACACATACCAGTCAATTTCTTCATACTTGCACTAAAAAGGGGACATTACATGCATACCACTCAAATTCTTCATTACTCTATAAATTGAAATGCATCTTTTATGCATGATTGGTAAATGTAAAGCGGATATATACGCACGCCATTTGATCCCTATAACGAATATATATATATATATATATATTAGAAAAAAACAACTCATGGCTCCTTACGCGTTAATGTCAAAAATGCGGTTACAAGAAATCAGTGGGAAAACTGGATCCCGCTAAAAATAAAGAAAATACATAAAGTCCTAGGGGTTCATTTATTTTTCCTCAATATCCACCCAAAAAAGAAAAAAAGTTGAAACAAAGAGAATTGTAACCAAAATATACATGTATCAAACCAAAACGTATATCCAAAGAGTATACACGTATACCCAAAGAAGTGACATATACCCTCTATGAACATATATATCAAAAGAAGTGAAGGTAATAAAATTTGTAAGCCAAAATTAAATCAACTTGGCAAAATAGAGTTTTTCTTAGTGGAGGAGAATTATTGTGGTGCGAGGTACTAATCCATGAAGAAATGGACAACCAACCATTAAAGCTTAGAGCAAGAAGATTGTGCTTAATCAACAAACTGCAAAAAGAGTCTAGGGTTTTTTGTAACTATTGTTTAAGACTCGCCTAAAAGCAGTAATAATTTGGAGTCATAGGCCTCCAAATAAGAGAGATCTTGCCCGTTAACAAAAACATGGTGAATATAGAGCATAAATTCTAGCCTCCATTCTTCAATCTTAATCGTAAAACCAGACTTATTGCTGTACCTCCCAAGTGCCATATCTTCAATAACAAACCTCCCAACCATCATCACAAATAAAGCAAAGGAGCCCGGGGCCTCCATGCTTAAGATATAACACCAAGCACTGTACCCCCCAAATGCCAAATCTCCAATCACAACTCCTCAACCCATAACCCGTAATAACCCCCAGCTCCACAGCCACCAACACCAAGTCCAAATAGGGAGCCTTGGGCCTCCCAAATAGATCAATACATATATGGCAAAGGAGTCCTGGACCTCCATGCCAAGGATAAAAAATCATACACCACAGTAGTCAAAAGTATGAGTAGCCATTTCCCCAGAAAACTGAACTTCCAATGTGCTTGAACTTCCAATGTGCTCAAAAATAAGTGAAGAAGAGAGAAATCCAACCTAATGATATCTTGGGCCTATCCAAGCCACTCGACCAACCAAACTGATTCAAGAGGAAACATCCCTACGAATATAAGGAGCATCAATATTATCACCAACTAGCAGAGTATGTAAAGAAGGAGAGGAGTAGATCCTACCCAACAAATTTGACTAGATCCTCTTAAGTTAGCAAGCCAACTAGCGTGTTGATTACCCTCCCGGTAATTGAAACTCCATATGACCTTCTTATTAGAAATTAATCATTTAATTCTCCTTATATAATAAAGTATATCCCAAGGGGTGTCAGCACCATTAGCCAAAATATCAATTATGATATGATTATCATATTCAAAAATAATATACTTCCAACTGAGATAATGAGCCAATAATGCTGCAGTTAAAATAACGCGAGCCTCAGCCTCAATAGGAGAATTCGCATAAGAAAGAGAAGATAAGAAGAGTATACAATTCCCAACATGATTCCTAGCAATACCCCCACACCCAGCACTAGAGACTTTCCAACTCCCATCTGTGTTAAATTTAATCCACCCTCTAGGAGGTGGGCGCCATCTAACCAAGATTGGTGGATGAGGTAACCTCCTCACCTCCAAATTCGTATGCCCCAAAGCGAGAAAGTAGTTGATGCTCGAAAAAAACCTTGTTTAAAACTCCCAAATCTCCATAATTTATTAATGTATGAAAATGATATTAGTGAAAATCATCATGTTCTGAATTTCCTTACCTTCATGACTAATATCATTCCGTGCCATCCAGATAAACCAACAAATAATATAAGGATAGATTTGCCAAAAGTGTTTCTTCTTACGGTCCAGATTGCAGCTCAATGTGGTGAGCCAAAGATTCCTCTCAGGAGTAACTATAATTCCAAACCACAAACCAACCCTTCTCCAAATGAATAAGGAAAAGGGGCACGAGAAGAAGATATGTTCAATAGTCTCCTCCGCCATATTACACAAACAACATCGGGAAACAATTCTCAAGCATTTCATCTTTAAAATATCATCACAAGGTATGATTGAATGAAAAATACGCCAAGCCAAGAAAGACATCGACGGGGTTAATGCCCAACTCCACACCCCCTCTCCCCAAGGCGTATTTCGAAAATTATAACGAGAAGCATATAAAGATTTAGTAATAGAGCTCGTCATGAGTAATTTTAAATTAGGAGTATCATGCAGATGAGGATCAATAAGAATGGTGGAAATGAAAGTAGCTCCCTTTAGCCCCGATATTCTAGTAAGAAGAGGAAAGTTCCAATGACCGTCAACCTAAGTATCTGACACGTTGAGATTAGAAAACCTCGTATCCCTCATATGCAGCAAGACATGAGACCAACAATTGTGCCAGAAAGAAATGTTTCCTTTACCCACCTCCCAATAAATGAAATTCTTTGCCCAATCTCTAACAATAAACAATCTCTTCCACATCGTGGAATTACCTAACCGCCAATTTATCAAAGCAGGTTGAGAGAAGTGGCAATACTTCCCATGCATGAAGTTAGCCCATAACGACTCTTTTTTCCTGAAATTAAGCCACTGCTTAAAAACATTAATATCTGTAATATGTTGCAGAGATTTGAAACCCAAACCACCAGCGTTTGTGGGTTTACAAACATCCTTCCAAGGCAACCATCTTCTACCAGAGTGATTTCCCACCCATAAGAACATATTGAAACATCTTTCAAGATTCAATATAGTGCTTTTTTTGGGTTGAAGAACTTGTAGAATATATAAAGGGAGTGATTGAAGTATACTCCTAAGCAGTGTAATACGGTCCCTAAAGGAGAGGAAATTATTTTTCCAATTCAAG